CAAGGCTATGGAAGCCCTCTGAGTTCTCTGACTCTTATCTTGTTTAGACAAGGTCATAGTCAAAGTGGAGGTTCTCTCCTCCCTTCAGAGAAAGGTACCTCCTTCTTTGATGACCTGTTCTTTCCACTGGGATCTCACTCGCAGAGATCTTTTGCCAGAGTGTCTTGGCTTTCCATGCCTGAAATACTCTCATGAGCTTTTCAGCCAGCTCCGAATGCCTTTAGGACTGATTCTGAGGCCAGAGTGCTATTTAGGACATCTGCCATTCTATGAGTCTGCTGAGTATCTCACTTCCCATGTTGGATCACTCTCCCCTTTATTTACTCCATCGGTTAGCATTGGCAGGTACTAGACTTGTCTATGTGCTCCCTTTGACTCCCAGTCCCTCCACCATGACCAATGGTGAACTGAAACTGATCACCTGGAACAGTGAGATGGCATTGGTACATGCCACCTCGATGGGATTGAATTGGAATCCCCTGGTATGCTTCCAACTCCACCACTTGGGGCAAGTCAGCCTGAGCATGTCCCAAATTATACATCTCTTCCCTCTCCCATTCCCACCACCATGTTCAACAGGGATCACATTTCAGTTAATTTTCAACACTTAAGAATAACTGTGCATCAATTACAGATCTAAACCAGTCATATTAAGTAGAACATATAAAAAAACTACTAAGAGGGATAATGTATTAAGTTGTTCATCAACAGTCAGGGCCATGCTGATCAAGCCACCGTTTCCCATAGTGTCCACCTCACTCCAACAGGTTTCCCTCTTGGTGTTCAGTCAGTCGTCACCGATCAGGGAGAACATATGGTATTTGTCCCTTTGGGACTGGCTTATTTCACTCAGCATGATGTGTTCCAGATTCCTCCATTTTGTTGCAAATGACTGGATTTCGTTGTTTCTTACTGCGGTATAGTATTCTAAAGAGTACATATCCCATAATTTCTTTATCCAGTCTATCGTTGATGGGCATTTAGGTTGGTTCCAGGTCTTAGCTATTGTGAATTGAGCTGCAATAAACATTAGGGTGCAGACCTCTTTTTTGTTTGCCAATTTAAATTCCTTTGGGTAAATTCCAAGGAGTGGGATGGCTGGGTCGAACGGTAGGGTTATCTTCAGGTTTCTGAGGAATCTCCAGACTGACTTCCATAGTGGCTTGACCAGTTTGCATTCCCACCAACAGTGGGTTAGTGTCCCTTTTTCCCCACATCCTCGCCAGCATCTGTTGTTGTTAGATTTCTACTCCTCATGTAGGATCTCTATCCTTAATGTGCTGTACATTGAGATTTAATGCTATAACGAGTACTCAAACAATATATTTCACTTTGTGTTTCTATGGGGGTGCAAACTGTTGAAATCCTTACTTAATGCATACTAAACTGATCCTCTGTAAAAAAAAAAAAAAAAAAAAGAAATTATCAATTCCCAACTTGACTCTCACTGGGATTAAACATGACAATAGGTCTGCTCTGATTTCATCATCATTTAAAAAAAAATCATCTATTATTTTTCACTTTATGTTTCTGTGTGGGAGCAAACTGTTGAAATCCATACTTGATGTATACTAAGCTGATCTTCTGTATATTAAGATAATCGAAAATGAATCTTGATGTGAATGGAAGGGGAGAGGGAGTGGGAAAGGGGAGGGTTGTGGGTGGGAGGGACGGTATGGGGGGGAAGCCATTGTAATCCATAAGTCGTACTTTGGAAATTTATATGCATTAAATAAAAGTTAAAAAACTTTCAAAAAAAATCAGAAATATTTCAGGGGCCAGTGCTGTGACTTAGAAGGTTAAGCCTCCTGTCAGGATGCTTGCATCCCATATGGGCACCGGTAAGAGTCCCAGCTGCTCCGCTTCTGATCCAGCTCCCTGCTAATGTGCCTGGGAAAGCAGTGGAAGATGGTAGAAGTCCTTGGGCCCCTGTGCCCACATGGGAGACCCAAAAGAAGCTCCTGGCTCCTGGCTTCGGATCAGCCTAGCTCCAGCACTTCAGCCATTTGGGGAGTGAACCAGTGGATGGAATATTTCTCCCTCTCTGTCTCTCCTGCTTTATGTCTGTAATTTTGCCTTTCAAATAAATAAATCTTAAAAAAATGGAAATATTTCAAAGTCTCCAGGCTAATGGAAACATACATTGCATGTTGTAGGGAATACATTCTTTATATACGAACTATGCAAAACTTATATAAATGCTTTAATCTTCAATTTATATTTTCTACCTTTATATTAAAATGGAAACACTCAGATTTTTGGCACTAAATGATCTGGATATGGAACTATTTACTACAAACATGTATTTCACTATTTTAAAATCAGAAAATGGAAAGAAATTAGAAAAATGTAAACCCCTGAAAAAGCTTGTTTCTATTATGGTTTTTCTACTTCTTCTTTTTCTAGCATACACCAAGCTGTCTATAGTCTCCTGGGTTTCATTTCTTCATTTGGAAATTAGCTTGCAATAGACAATGAGTTTTTAAAGCTGTGCATTTGAAATATTACCAGAAACCTTAGGAATACAATCATGACATTCTTACTATTCCTCTAATATCTGTATACTATCAAATCTACCCAGGGCATAAGTCCAAACATTTCCAAATTTAAATACTAATTATTAAAAATATTTATTTTCTATCAGTAAATACTTTTTTGATACACTTACATGTTACATTTCTTTTTATCTGATTTACTGTACAAGCAAAAATTTTGGTTGAAATTCAAACCTTTCCTGCTGTTCATTCTACCTGAAGTCAGAGTCCTATTTACATCATAATTGGTTTCTATGGAAATGATTATATCACCATAAATAAGATTCCTGAATTCTACTTTGATGCAAATATGTTTTAAATGGGAAATGAAGTAAGAATAAGTGTAATAAACAGAACATATTTAGGGCTAAGGTACCAGAAATGAGAATAGAAATGAAAGTAGACTTTTGAAAACTCCTCTAGATCATCAATATTTCAGTAGTGTGGACATGTAACCATAAAGCAAGCTGAGACTTTGACTTTCTGATTCTTACTTTATAGATAGAAGGGTTTGCAGCCCCTGGAATGCAGAGCAGAAACATCCTAGGATGCTGCTGCAGACAACATATGGTCGCAGATGCGCTTTGGAATGTTAGTAGTTTCATTGGCAAAGCAGTAACTCAAATACTTCTTGCTACATATGCATTCTTGAATTTGGTAAAAACTGCGCAACTTACTTTATTGGATGATATTTAACGCTAAGCATTTCAGAATACTTGAAATTTATGTATGAGAAATGAGAAAATTATTCATTTTTGCCAAAGCTGCCAAGAATAAGGCCATTTGAACAATACTGCTGGAATTTCAGTCTGTACTTTAGAAAAAGAAATAAAAGACTGTATTCTGGCTACAGTTGTCATTAATTCATCATATCATTGATCATTCTCCATTATTTATATCTGTGTATGTGTGTGTGTTTGTGTGTATATACTGAGCCTAACATCTATCAACCAGTATGCCACGTGCTGGAATTTTCAAATAAAAATGTTCAGGATAATCTCTGTATTTGAGAGATCACTTTGTATTAGAAAATGATACAGGGAGATGCATTTACAGGTACTGTCAAATTACTATGGAAACACTAAAATGGAGGAGCACTTCCTTTGGAAATATATGGGGTCAAGTCTAATTCAATTTGACAGAAGAGCTAACAGTTTAGCAGGGTCTTGAAGGATGAATAAGAGTTTACCCAGAAAGACAAGCAGTAGATGCAATTATGGGTAAGGATATTGAGGTATAAAAACAAATATCAACTCTTCAGAACTATAATATGACTGGAACATTGGAAATAATAGAAATGCTTTAGTAAGGACTAAAGTGATTTTTCCTGTAAAATTAAATGTAAAAATGTACTCAGTACCTGAAATTGAATGTGTATTAATATCCCCTAATTAAATATGAAGCAGTGTATCAAAAAATTTAAGGGAGTTCCATAGTTTTCCCCAATGTTCCACTTCTGTGTTGATACGTGTTACTCAAACTAGTGTCTCCTTGTGACCCCATTCTTTTTTAGATGACAAACAATGCAACAGTAGTAGCAATCAACTCCTGGCTGTCCCTCGCATCCAAGTCCAGCCAATGGCAGGCTTTTTCAGTCCTGTCTATCACTGTTCCAAGTTCTCTTGAAGGAAGAATTGATCATAGTAAACCAAGAGTGACTGACCAGGATCCATTTTGAGTGGTTGCCTTCTAGTTATGCAATCCATCAGTTTACTGAAAATAAAAGAAAACCCAAATCAAATTGGCATAAAATAAATGGCAGAAATGTTAGCTCATGTATAATGTAGATAGAACTCAGCCAGAGTACAGAATTGTTTGAGGTAAGAATCTCCCTGTACGTTTCAAGTTGACAACCATCTTATGAGGTTGATTCATTTTAGTTTGCAGCTAGTTAGCAGTAGCAATTTTATCTTAATTTTTCCCTATTTCCATGATTTGGTTCCCATTGGGCCCTAGAACAACATGTTCTCTTCCGTAAATATCCCAGCCCCTAAATCAATCTATAGCAATTTGGGTGGATGAAATGATCATGATTGGCATTAATTTATCAGCTGGAGTTTCATGACTGTCGAGAATCAGATTCCAATATTCAACTGCACCATCCAAAGATAATTTAGGGGATGATCAATGCCACGAGCAGTATCTTCAAGACATCGTGTTAACAAAGACTCAAACACAAATACTCCTTTTAGGCTGCTCTCCAGTGGTCAAATATCACATGACAAGCGATGATCAGTAATGACAAAAAAGCAAGACAGGAATGATGCAACAGGTTTGCAAGAGAACTCCCAGCCTCACAGAGACTCTTCACCAGGGTCTAAGAAATAATTCCTAAGCAAATATGAACATTTAGAATTCCTTTGGCTTTCCAGTGAATGAATAAAGGGCAAAATTGAACCTGACAATATATAAATATCTATATTATGATCTAATCACTCAGTAGTCAGATAAGAATTAGATGAGGTTTGTAAAAAATTTATTTATTTATTTAAAAGGCAGAATGACAGAAAGTGATAGATAGAAATCTTCTATTGGCATAGACCCACTCAACTGTCCCCACACAGACATGTCAGAAGTATTTGTATGTTTCCCCCACGTCTTAGAGTTTCCATAGGGTCAAGACATTTTTTTCACTAAATAAGACACATAAAAATAAATAATCAGATATAAAATTTGAAGTTTGTATTTAAATAGAATGTGATGCTAAATTTGATGCTACAGGGATCAAAATTATGAGTGACTGTGACAAACAATAAGAACCTAGAATCTTCATCAACAAATTCCATAACTAAAGTCAAACAATACTATGTAACAGTGGAAGGCTCTTGAAAAAAATCTACTACATTCCCAGAAATGAGTGTCGAAAAAGGAAACGAGTAAAAGGTAAAGTTGGAACCTGGTTCTTCTGTCCTTCTTTTAATTATTTTTCATTCTGACAGAACACATTGAAAGAATTTCTTTTGAATGGAGACATTCATTATTTTTAAATTATACATAAATAGATACTCAAAATTTTGAAAATATCAAAACAAATGTAAATTTCACTTAAATACAAAACCCAAAGGATCTAGAATTAGGTAGTACATTGGGAAGCAATACAACTTGGTACATTGAAAAAAGGTAATAATGCCTATTATTGCAAATATGAAAATGATTTGCAGGTATTATAAGCAGTTTTCAATTTAGTGTGTTGTGTTGTGCATAGGAAAACATGAAAATCAATATATACTGGGAAGTCGTCACAGGAGCCTCGAATATTTTGTATTCTTATAAAATGTTAACATATAGTATTAACTTTTGAATTCTCTCATCCTTTTAACTTCAAGTAAAGTAATTTAAAACTCACTTCAAGTGGACTGGCTGTGATATTAGATGGCGGTTACTATGGCATAGTGGATGTCTTCTTAATTCTCATCTAAAATTCCTTGGACAGGAAGCCTCCGTCTCTGACTCAGGATTTGCTCTGGCTGAGCTTGCTTTCTCAGGTTAAGTCTCAGTTGGTACTTGCCAGCGTAATGGTAATTATTTACTATGTTTGTGAAAGGGAAGAATGACTGATTCTAAATCAGGGCTGTGCAATAAAAATATTGTATTAATCTGTGTAATTTAGGTCTAGGTTCCACACTTAGTAAAATAAAAATAAACAGGTGAAATTAATTCCAATAATGCATTTCATGTAGGTAGATGTATCTTAGATATTATTTAAACAGGAGTACCCATAAAAGGTAATAATAGGATAGTTTCTTTTTTTAGTATTATAATTTTGATCTGTGAAGTACATTTTTCTTCATATCACACCCCCAACTGAACAGCTTCATTTCAATAACTCAATAACCACATATGACTGCTGCTTTTTTATATAAATCAGCAAAATTATAAATTATTCCAGAAAATGTAACAATTTTCAAATGGCTACCATTCTTCCAAAGAACCGAGAATGCTTAAAGTTAATTTTTAAAAAAAAAATCATACAATTTCTGCTCTGAAGATGTGAAATTTGACTTATGAGAATTTCTAGAAAGAGTGATGGGAATGTGGATATAGTGTGTGTGTGTGTGTGTGTGTGCACGCATGCAAATGTATGCAATTACTGGTTATCAAAAATAGAGAACATAGGTGGTGTTTTCAAATGAAATAGTACAGAAAAATGACTTTATGCAAATAATTTTCTTTCTGTCAGTACATTATTGAATTTTTTTAACCTTTCACATAAAAAAAGATCTAAGGAGGGTTCTGCATTGTGGTATAGTGAATTAAGCAATCTCTTGAGGCAATGGCTTCCCGGATTCCACTTCTGATTTGGCTTCCTGTCACGGCACCTGAGAAGGCAGCAGATGAAACCTTAAGTACTTGGGTTCCTGTCATTCATGTGGGAGACACAGATGGTGTTCCTTGCTCCTGGCTTCAGCCTGATCTAGCTTTGGCTGTTTCTGGCAGTTGGGGAATGAATCAGCTGATGGAAGAACTCTCTCCTCTGTCTTGCTCTCCCTCTCTACCTGTCTCTGTCTTTCCCCACCCTGTCTTTCAAATAAATAAATATTTTTAAAATAAAATATATGTTCCATTTTAAAGACAACATGAAAAATGAATGTAACATATCTCATTAATTATTAATAATGTTACTTGCATGTTGAAGTAATGTTTAAAAAAGTTTATCTGGGTAAACTAAGATCACTCACTTCCCTGTAATCCTTTACTCTTATGTAGGTACACACAAAACCTGTGTGTCTACCACTGTGTTTCTCTGAGTGTGTGCTCTATATTTAACTGCCATGTGTGACACACTGGTCCATCTTAATAAAGTGTGAGATGAAAGAGTAATCTATGACACAATTATAAATATATAAGGGCTAAGAGATCGTTTGCTTAAAACCCATCTAACTGGACCGGCCACCAGCAGTACCTACATCCCACATAGACACCCGTTTGGGGCCCAGCTGCTCGACTTTTGATCCAGGTCTCTGCTAATGTCCAGGGAAACTATCAGAAGATGACCCAAGTATTTGGGCCTCTGTGCCCATGTGGTAGACCCAGAAGAAGCTCCTGGCTCCTGGCCTCAGATCAGCCCTGCCATTGTATCTATCTGAGGAGTGAATCAGTGGATGGAAGATTCTCTCTCTCTCTCTCTCTCTCTCTCTGTATCTCCCACTTTCTGTCTTCCTAACTCTGCCTTTCATATAAATAAACAAATCTCAAAAAAAATCCCATCTAGGGGCTGGCACTGTGGCACAGGGGGTTAAAGCCCTGGCCTGCAGCTCCAGCATCTCATATGGCCCAGGTTAGAATATCAGCTGCTCTACTTCAGATCCAACTCCCTGCTAATGGACCTGGGAAAGCAGTGGAGGATGGCCCAAGTCCTTGGGTTTCTACACACACGGGAGACCCGGAAGAAGCTCCTGCCTCCTAGCTTCAGATCAGCTCCACTCTGGCCACTGAGGCCATATGGGGAATGGAAGACCTCTTCATCTCTGTCTACCTCTCTCTATAACTGTCTTTCAAATAAATAAATAAATAAGTAAATCTTGAAAAAACCTGTCTAACAAGTAAGACATTTTATATTATTTTGAAATTCCCTATAATGGCAAAGAAGGAAGGGAACTTATGACTGGCAAAGAAATAAGAACATTGCGGGGCCCATTCATGGGCAAATACCTCTGTGTAAATGTCTTTCATTACAAATACCCTGCATTCAAAGGATAGAAGTAAGTGATTACATGAGCATTTTTATTACTGAGACATTAATAATAATTGATGCAGGTTGAACACAACATGAAGGTCTGACTCCTATGGTATCCTTCACATCCCTAAAAGATCACACAAATGAACAACATTCCTAGACACAAGTGTACATTAAATTGTCATATCAAATATTAGTATGTAATATCAAATTTGTACAAATTACAAATAAAAATTGTAATATCAAATATCAGTATGTCTAAAACCTTATCTTTGGTATTGTGAATTTTGGAACTGAACTAAGAGTCTCAGAAAAAAAAATGAAAAAAAGAGCAAAAGAGCAGCATACTCTAGGATTTTGGTTTTGTATATGGAAATATCCTTACTCATCCTCTTTTCTTTTTCTTTTTTTGACAGGCAGAGTTAGACAGAGAGAGAGAGAGAGAGAGACAGAGAGAAAGGTCTTCCTTTTTCCATTGGTTCACCTTCCAAGTGGCCGCCGCGGCCAGGGTGTTGCGGCTGGCGCACTGCACCGATCCAAAGTCAGGAGCCAGGTGCTTTCTCCTGGTCTCCCATGCAGGTACAGGGCTCAAGCACTTGGGCCATCCTCCACTGCACTCCCGGGCCACAGCAGAGAGCTGGACTGGAAGAGGAGCAACCGGGACTAGAACCTGGGGTGCCGGCCCTTACTCATCCTCTTTTCAAAACATTGGTTATTTAATTTGAATGCAACACAAAGAGTCTCAGAACAGTAGAGCTATAGTTTCTTATGGGAACATTCAAAGAAAGCTTGAAAAAAAAAATGTGCAATGCATCTAGCTCCACCATTAGCTTATTATTTCTTTCCCTTATGTAATAGGGCTCTCAAATCATTAAGACCAATTTATATTTCTTATTATTATACATTTGCACTTTAAAAATACTATAAAGGTGTTTCCAAAAGAATCATACAAAGATAGAGACAAACAGCACACGACTATGTATCATTTGTGGTGTCAAAGGTATAAAATTATTTTTTCAACTTGTAAAATTTCTGAAAATGTGCACTTTGAATCTCAAAATTTTTATCCAAATACCTCTATTTACAGCATGTCACTTGTAGCATTTGTATGCTTACCACTATAGATTAATCCCAGTCATTTTGTGTTCAAAAAGAAAAATGGGACAATATGAAGAGGAAACATAATTATCATAAAAATACACACTTAGGAACCCAGGATTACCCTTAGGAACCTGGAGTTACATGGCCATTTCTTTAATGCACTACACACAGGTGTTTGGCTTCAGAGACACACGTTTTTACTTCTAGCCCGATCAACTCTCAAAATGCAGGTCAGCTGTGCCATGAAAATGTGTGAATTCATCCCATCATGGCTTTACCACTGACAAAGAGTGTTTAACCTCTCTCCACGAAGAGGAATGTTTTGGATGTGAAATTATGGCTATTTTTTCGTTAGAAGTTTATTTATTTGAAAGTCAGTTACAGAGAAAGAGAGGTAGAGGCAGACACACATGCCACACACACACAGAAAGAGAAAGAGAAAGAGAAAGAGAGAGAGAGAAAGAGAAAAAGAGAGAAAGAGAAAGCAAAAGCGAAAGAGAAAGAGAAAGAGAAAAAGAGAGAGTGCACTTCCATTTGCTGCATCTGCTGGTGCACTTCCCAAATTGGCTACATTGGCTGGGGCTGGGCCATTCCAAAACCAGGAGCCAATACTTTCTTCTGGGTCTCCACAGAGGCCCAAGCACTTAGGCCAAGATCATAGTTATTTTTAAAAATTTATTTACTTATTACTTGAAAAGCAGAGTAACAGAAAGAAAGGGGGAGAGAGAGTGAGAGTGAGAATGAGAGATGGATCTTCCATCTGCTGGTTTGCTGCTTACATGATCACAACAATAGGGGATAAGCCAGGCTGAAGAGTTTGGAACTCTGTCTGTGTCTCCTACTTGGGTGGCAAGGGCCCAGGTACTTGGACCATCTGAGTGCCTTGCAAGGTGCATTAGCAGAGGGCTGGATCCAAAGTCGAGCAGGTATTCTGATATGAGATACTGGCATCACACATGGCAATTTCACCTATTGTGCCACAGTGCTGGCCCGATGGCTGCTATTTCTACGTTACAGAGTCTGAGGGTGCTTCAAAACATTTGTGGAAAATGGAATTCAAGGATATGTTGATTTTGGTGCAATTTTTTTAAAATTTATGCATTTT